CTCCTGAGATTCACACCATCAACAAACACTACATCCTTTACATGGGGTGTGATTGTAGTACCGGGACGCTGCAGGCAAGGAGCATCAACATCGATGGCATTGTCAGGACCGGCGGTTGGAGCTGTAAACAATCCAGCATGCTGAAGTTCCTGTGTCGATGCCTGGGCACAATTGACATGTCATGTTGGTTCGAACAGGGAATAAGTTGCAGAGGGTCAGGAGTTGGGATGTCTGTTGAAGTCTAGCGGCAGGGATGGTGGGAGCTTCCGAAAGCGCCGCATCCGCATCTGAAGCCTTATCTTGTAGATCGACACATTGAATCTCAAACAAGCAAGCTTCACACAAGCTTCACACCAAGTGGCAGCGGCATTGTCGGGGTTCGACTGAGCAGCCTCCAGCTCCTGTATTTCTATTGCAAATTTGATGCTGTGCATGCCTACTACACTATATATAAGGCTACATAGAAGCACGTGCGCTGTAATGTCTCCTCGAGCTCTCGTTGGAGGCGTGCCTCCTCCTCATCCAACACTCCCAGCTCTGCTTCCGTATTAACAGAAGCTATCCCTGCATCTAGAGTCGTGGTGCTCCATTGCTTGGAAGCTACAGACATCCTCCTTGCAGGAGGAAAAGACACACTGCCACGACCGAAGTGCTGCTGCAGGACCCGCCAGGAACATGTTCATGGTCTTTCAAGTCAGCAGCACTCAGCCGAGCATGTTCGTCACGACATCAACACTTGCACTGGCAAGCAAAACTGCGTTTTCGGCGGAGCTCGAACATCCTGTGTGTATTCACACATCACTGCAACGAATTTGTTCGGTATCTGAGGCTTTCAAAAGTGCTTCGGGACACGATTAGGGCAGCTACCTGGGGAAGCAAAAAACCCATATTTTAAATACGGGTTTATACGGGTTAAATATGGGTTAAATACGCTTTAAATACGGGTTGGGAAAAGTAGGTTCTAAATGCATTATACACATATACGGGTTATATACGGGTAAAATCCGGGTTTTATACGGGTAAATACGGGTTTTATACGGGTTAGCTTGGGTTGCCTAGTATCAGACTATGTCAAAACCTGTTGAAAAGCGCTAAAAAGCTCCTAAAGAAACAAAAAACATCCTAAGAAGCCTCTTGCGAAGCACAACTCGTGACTTTGAGACCAGCCACTAGCTGCATTGCGCCGTTGGCCGTGGCACTTCGAGGGCTTTGGGGTTTGTGTGGTGGAAGATTGAGGTCGGGGCCCTTAGGTACCTATATAAGCCTGGTATTCTAGACCCCCGGCACAATCAGCTAAGCCGCCCTAGGGACTAGGGAAGGTATTCGGGATAAATTCCTTCCATTCTTGAGGAACATGCAGCCTTTTGGCCCCCCTCAAGTAAAGAAAAACAGCCTCTAGGTTCGCGAAAGACCAAAACTCCCCCTGGCTACCGTACTGCATGGCAGCAAAAGTCGCCCGACCGCATGGTACTACATCAGGCACCTCCGGTAGCCCTTCTGCCGAAGCCTTGAGGAGCTCGCAGTGGTGGGCCAAATAGAAGGCGAAGCGGGGAGGATACTCCCTCGGCTTGGGCAGGTTATTGGTTCCTTAGCGTTTAAGGGTTGAGGGTTTAGGGCTTTAGGGTTTTAGGTTTTAGGGTCTACATAAGTAGGAAGCGAGAAAGAGGATGCAGATATCTATCTCGTTCGATCTGGATGTTTCTGGACATATGTCCTACATATGGAAACAACACCGAAATAAATATACTTTTAACGACTATATAGTCTTCAGCCTGGCTATTGTATTGAGGGTTTAGGGTTTAGGGTATATATAGTGCATGTAGTACATGGACGGATAGTCAAAGCTTGATACTAGGACGGTCCTACAACATTGGATTTGTAATGATTCAGTTCTTGCGATATATCTACTTACTTTGCCACTTAGCCTAAAGGTTCTCAGAACCAGTATGTGTTTATCAAATTGAACACTGAGACACATCCCTAAACCCCTAAACCCTAAACCCCTATAACCCCTAACCCCTAAACCCCAACCCCTAAACCCTTAAACCCCTAAACCCCTAAACCCCTAAACCCTTAAACCGCTAAACCCCTAAACCCCTAAGCCCCTGGAATTAGCTTAGTCAGGTCAGTTGTCTCTGTGGCTTAAGGCTTAAGGCATGGTGGGCTTTAGTGTGCTTTCTGTAGGCTTCTATGAAACTACGTCGTCGATAAGTAGAAGGTACCGAAAACAAGTATCATAGGTCGATGGATAGGTGGGTGGGTCGCAATCAAATCGGTTGGGAGAAGCATGGATGCTGTAGGCATGGCTTCTAAGGTTCTACATCAAGAGGTCGAAGAGGCTTGGGAGCAATGAGTTGTATAGCTTTGATCCTAGAAGAGGCCTGGGGTGCATGAGGATCGAGCGATTTAGGTGCATGGTTGGTTCACACTTACATATCATGTCTGGCCTGCACTTAGAACATGCCTTGAGTGACCTGACTCCCTTCGAACCGAAGCAGAACGATACCCTTCCCTCATTCCGAAGAAGGCCACCGACACCTACAGGGGTTTAGGGGTTTAGGGGTTAGGGGTTTAGGGGTTTAGGGGTTTAGGGGTGTAGGGGTGTAGGGGTGTAGGGGTTTAGGGGTTTAAGATAGAAGAATCAATGAACAATAACAACCGGGGCACTCCGTGGCACGCAACTCGGGCGTGCCTTGGTAGCATTCCTTTCCCTGTGCATCTCGCTTTCGAGATGTTGTTTTTGGTTGTGTTTGTCGAGACCTGGACCACACTTTCATGTAGAGCTTCCCTTGGTTCAGCAGGTGTATTTTCTCAGTATTCGCATAAGCGTAGTGTCTCTTGGGAGTCGCCGATCCGTAGTGGCACATCCACCATTTCGTGTCGTATACCTTAATCTACAAGCGCACAGCAAAGCTCCCATATACCCTAGGACACTTGCAACCCGCCACAGCTTCCTATAGGCCTCAGCGTATCTAACCCAATAATTCAAGAAATCAAGTTGCAGCATCTCGTCCCCGAATATTGTAGAGATCCATAATCATCTTCCGGAAACTGGGGTAATATTCGAGAACCGACTGATTTGGCTGCTCCACGAACCAGGTGCCTCCAAGCCCAGTGACCAAGTAGATCAAGAGGACAGACCTGCAAAGGGCTTGTGTTGTCGAACTATTTATGGGTCCTATGGAAGTTTGCAGGTTTAGGGCTTAGAGGGCTTAGGGTTCAAGGCTCTTTGGTTTACGGGACTTTTGTTCCTGGGTGCTTTCGACGAAACTTTTACCGCACCTAGCCTCTCGAGCAACATGTTGCTGTTTTGGACGGACGGGTGAGCATCGAAGCCAACGCTATTACACTTGCTTCTCTTGGAAGTACCACTGTTAATCTTGCAGAACGAAGAGCACGTCACCGCGAACATTACAAAGAAGTTTTCAGGGCGGCCACGGAGGATGAAGTAGCAGGCGAGCCTGAGGAGGGCAGAGGTGGAGGAGGTTGTTGGTGTGGGTACAGAGCAACTCACCCCTATCTTTAACCAAGGTGCAGGAAACCCGAGGCATGGGTCAGATCCATGAAGTTTGAGTGGTGTCGTAGGCCGGGCTCATTGTACTTCTTGTCAAACCGTGCAGCTTTGAAGGACTTGTTTCTCATAGCAGCGGTTGTTCGGGCACGACCAGCATAAAACTCCAAGCAATCATAATCCTGGGAGGTTGCAGTGGCAAAACTATGGGGTTACATGGCTCTGTAGAAACCTGTACCCAGCCTGGGCCAGCTCGTCTTCCGTGTAGCTGAAGAGCAGGAGCAACAGGCACAGAACAAACTCCTGGGCTGCGCTTAGGGGCTTTGGGTTTAGTAGGGATCGCACGAAGTGCAGTCTGTGTATAATGGGCAAATACCAAGGCTCCTTCGGAACGTTGAGGCACTTCAGTACATACAAAAGTCGGTCAAGGTTTACCATTGCAGCGAAAGCAGCAACAGAGCTGGGCTGAAAGCCACTTGTTTGATCCCAAGAACCCAACAGCCACACTATACCCAATTCTTGTACAAACTTTAAGACAACCTTGCTAGCAGTTGAAGCGCTGTAACCCCAAGCATGCCTAAAGCTGAAGATCTCAACCTTGATCCATATATCTCATCCGAGGGAGGGCTCATGGATTGGAAAGCCAAACTGCTGACTTCTCACATGAACATGTCCATGCCAGAAGCAATAACACGTGGCCGGTGAGACGTTTCTTGGCAAGGAGATCCAGCCTCACCTTCCACTTGTTGCCACGCGTGGATGCAGCCTTGGCTCTGGCCTGGGCACGGGATCGAGGAGAGCTTAAAAGGGTCGTGTATATGCAGTGCAGCTAGATTTAAGGCTTGCCAATCGGGTTGCATTTGTCAACTGTCGGATGGGTCGTGAAGCAACAGCGATAGTCGGAGAACTTTTTCTTGGTTGCCCCAGTCTGGACGAAGAGCCGTCAGGCTACGAATGACAGTCGTCTTTTCTGTCGATCTATGCAGCCAGAGCTCATTGCGGAAACGGCAAACCATGATAAGGCCATACAGATCATCTCGTGAAGGATCCATTCTAAAGCCAATCAAGTCTGTACATTCTAGGATGTATCAAGACATATACAACCGATTTCAGCTCCCTGAAAGCTGCAAAAAACTAAGTGCAGGCTTCGTTGGACAGGAGCCCGAGCAATGCATCCTATAGAGGTGATTCGGGTGTATATAGGGTTTCTATAAAATTAAGGCTTATATGAAGGTTTGTTCTAGAAATGCTTTAGATAATTTAGAATTGACATTACGTCATTCCCCCGAAGCATAACTTGCGGTTGGACTGGGGATGCCCACTATTGGGCTTCAGTATATACATATACAGTCATATACAGGTAACGTTGGCATGATTAAGGGTTTCATAGCATTGCTCGAGGCTAAGACTGCACCACTCCTCTAAGCACAAGCCTATGCTACGCAACGGGTGTCGTTGTCACCCCACAAGCTGAGTGTCATCAACTTGCATCCCATTCACAATCGGCACACATATACGCTTCAAAAGCTCGCGCACAACAGCAGTGAGTCCTATAGTCTGCCATCCAAGAACATCGTTGCACAAAGCTGCCGAAAGAACAGCAAGCTCATTACTTGTCAAGGACCTGCTTGATGTACTTCTTGCAGCACTTATCCACACAGCTGGCCACATTGTCCTCCGTAATCTGTATCTTCATCTCGCTCATCATCTTCATACAATACATCCAAAAGGGGTCCTTCGGGTATTATATTTTACCAGGGCGAAAACCCACACAGAATTAATAATTGAGTACATACGATGAACGTACCGCACCTATATAAAGTTACAAAAGATCGAGTCACCCAATGTCCTCGTAAAGGGTGCGGCTGCCCGAAATCTTGGGCAACACCTGCGTCCAGAAGCAATTCCTGATTGCCTCCCATCGCTGCGCCTTGAAGGGTGTGGCCGGCTTGTAGCGTCTGGCGAAAGTAGTAGCCTCACCATCGGCCGCTCGAGCCTTTTTGTTCGGGTAAAACTTGATACCAGCGCAATCGGGCACCCTCCCGCGCTTGCCCACGAGCTCCTCGTCCGGCACGTCATCCGTGGATTTCGCATTCTTGGAAGCCCTGCCCTTTGCCTTTGCTTCTGCCTTCGTTTTGCCCTTGGCGCTCCCCGCCTTGGTCTTCGGCTCCTTCGGCTTTTTGCCGCTCTTCGGCTCCACGTCGCTCTGCGGCTCCTCGGGCTTTTCGCTGCTCTTCGGCTCCGTGTCGCTCTTCGGCTGCTTCGGCTTGTTGCCCTTCTTTGAAGTCTTCATGACACTCTCCGGCTCCTGAGCGGCCTCGGTCTTCAAGGCTTTCTTGGGGGTCTCGTACCAATAATCACCTGGTTCCTGGTACCACTGCAACCATTCCTCAGTCGTGTACTGGGGCTCGTCCTCCTTGTGATCATCGGCCGCAGTACCCGCAGCAGCAGCGGATGAACGACCACCCCCGCGGCCACGTCCACGGGCGCCGCCGCGGCCACCACGGCCACGATTCCCGCGACCGTCGGTGTCCTTCTTGTTTTGCCGCAGCGTCAGCTGATCGACCCTGTCGACTGGGCCAGCCCATGACTCCTGCACGGAACGATTGATGGTCATGAGCAAGATAAGCAAATATATATAATCGATACGCATGAGTCCGTCAACAACCGATTGTTATTTTCTAAACAAAGCTCCTTGTCAGGGGTGAAAGGCTCGGGCGTAGAGCCCTCAACCTTCTTGTCCTCAGGCGAAGGGGGATTGCCAGGCAACGGTTGCGTGACCTGGCCCTTGCCCTGGTACTCCAATCTGCGATCCTCAACAGTACGGCTCGGACTGCCATCACTTGTCTGCTCAGGCGGCGTCTCAACAGCATCCATATCGTAAGGCAGTGTGTCAGCGGAGTCCATTGAACCTGTGCACAAAATCCGGCTTCATCACATATATATACTTATACTTCCTCGACAATCGACTCTCTATCTCTCTTTTTTCGCTCTTTCTCTATATCTCTATCTCTCTCTCTCTCTCTCCCTCTCTCTGTCTCTCCATCTTATGAAAATCAATCTGCCTTACATAATGGAAGAAACACATATCTATATCATTGCATGTATATATGTAAACGATCCAGCCTGTCAGTACCACAGCAACAGGAGCCGGCGTTGTCGGCTTGACCGCTGGACCCGTGATTCTGTCCCGCTTTGCACGCAACCTGGATATGCAAAAGAATTAAAATATATAAAATTGGCAGAAGTATAAATAAAATACCCACAGACTTTATTCTCGAATTTCTATAACGAAGAAACATCTCCAATCGTTCCTTGATCTGCTTGATGCGGTCCGCTTTCAAAGCCTTCTCGCCTCGACCCCGAATACCGAATCAAAGAAGCGACTCTAGCGAACCTCACACATATATAGGAATTTAACTAAGATGGTCACGTGCATCCGGCTCCACTCCAGGGACAAAGGTTGTCTTCTTAACACCTGCTGATGTTCCACTGGACCCCTGTGGTGCTGTTGCGTCTCGTTGTGGCCCACCCGGCCCACTGTTCTCCTTCGGCACTTCCACGACTGCACTCGGCAGACTGTTCTCCTTCGGCACTTCCACGACTGCACTCGGCCCACTGTTCTCCTTCGGCACTTCCACGACTGTACCCGGCCTGTTCTCCTTCGGCACTTCCACGACTGTACCCGGGCTCTCGTCCGGCACTTCCACGACCTGCTGGTCCATATTCGCATCGGACAGCTCCGGGACATCCGAACGCTCAGTCCCGACGTCTGACTCCTCACACGCAGCCTTGAAGTCACTGAGATGGCTGGCAAGGTCACTGCAATCGTCGGTCCCGTCATCATCGTCGTCATATGCATCCTCATCGCTCTCGACTTGGGGGTCCTTCCATGCGGAAAAAACTTTAAGCGGGGCCGATATATAAAATACATATGTGGAGAAATGATATACATCCCAATCCTCCGCTCGAGCCGCTTTCGCGGCACGTCGTCTCGCAAGGGACTCGTTGATCTGGTCCACAATGCCCTCCGCAAGTATCAAACAATGAGATCGGCCATATACAGCATGGGGGTCTATACTGCACATGTTCACTGAACACCCCACCACCCCCAACACCCGCAACTCCTGCAAATCGGGATCCAAGGCCAGGCACAATTCCTGGAACTCGGGATCCTCGGTCTAGATTCAGGAGAAAAAGGAAATCGTTGTATTATCCGAAATGTAGGTCTGACATTGTGAATTTGTGAGAATCATCTATTGTTAAGACAAGTAGCATTCGACACCTCTTGGCGTCGACATTTCATCTTGATGAACCCGCAGTTCTTACGGAGTAGCCACGCGTACTTCTGAATATCTTCCTCCGATGGGTCTCGCTTGTTCTTCTGCATGATTACTCGAACCTCGCATCGAAGCGCCTCGACACCTGGCAGTTTCTTGCCGGCCTCCCGCATACGATTGAGTATCGGCAAAAGTAAGCGGCTGTACTTCGATGGCATTTTAATATCCACCTGCTTTTCCGATACCTCCGCGATCAGAGCTCTGCCCTTTCGCAGATCATCACGTAAGCTTTCGATGGCATCCCACTCGGCCGCTAGCCCTTCAATCATACTTTCAGCCATGGCTAGAAGACACAAAATGTGCCCCGTGAAACCCTTCACACTACCGACCCGCAAAATCCTTGAGATCGGAAAGAGTAGTCGGAAGTAAACATGTCCACATGCGATACGCACTCTGCCCAAACGAGAGGAGAAGATGAGCCCTGGACCATGCTGGAGCATTTGTCGCCATCCGTGGCAAAATGGCCGTTGGCTCGCTCGGCATTGCTATCACGATAGCTTCGGCTAGATTGTTTAGATTGGTTGAGGAGTTCCTAAATCTACAGAGAGTGTGGCATTCTGAACATGTGCTCGGAGACCTGAAGTGCTGGATGTATACTCATTTCAACGACCTCTATATTGGGTACAACAATTTATCGAAGTGTTGAGACGTCTCGCATTTCGCACAGAGGTTATACCGAACTTATTGGTGAAGTCCCGATTGTAAACGGGTCGATGGAATCAAAACTACCCAACTCAAGCGAAGGTGCACGTATTTTCCCCTGATTAGATCAAGGCAGCTAGCGACCACCTATCTAAGTTTTACTTGATGTCGATCAACCCACATTATGTTTGATTCTTCAAGAGCAGCGACTCACAAAGCATCAAACGATGATGCCAATCATCCTTGAAGAATGCCTTAATCAGCCCCCAGACCCAGACCAAGACATCATAATTTAGGGTTGCAACCAGGAACCGGGTTTTTGAAGAGAGAACCGGGTTATTTAAAAATATAGCCTCAGAACCAGGTTCTTAAATTAGAACCTACAATTTTATATGTTCTTAGGGGTATAGGTACATACGTACATACATACATACATACATACATACGCATACACAGAGAGAGAGGGAGAGAGGCGCGCACGAGTGCGTGCGCGCGCG